TGTTATTAATGAGGACCCTTTTGTTGTTGTTTTGTGAATGTGGGTTAAATGCAGGAAGAACTGCTGCTAAAACGTTTTAATCAGAACAGAACAGTTGAATGTAAAGTAAAATGGGAAATTTAAAGGGATAGTTCAGTTTTTTCAGGTTTTGTATTAAAGTGGGGCTTTGCAGTGTGATTATGAGCAGTCAGTATTTTACCTGCAGTAGACCACAGTCAGAGTAATCTCAATTCGGCATTTCTGAAGAGCTACTCAGATTAAAGCCTAACCCAGAGCCATTTCACTCATTTAAAATAATTTAAATCTCAAAATATTTTCAAATAAATGAAATATTGTGATTTTTTTTGTCACATTACCCAGCATCACACTTTCCTAACACCTTTCACAAGAAAACTTAAACATTTTGCAGTAAATTATTTTTGTTTCTTCAAAGTGAGATTGTGATCACTGCTGTTTACTGCAGGTAAGATACTGTCTAATAACGACAACTTCAAAGAACCCCACTTAAAAAAACAAATACTTCTTTAGCTTTTGACATCTTATCCAGATTATTCTGAGCAAACAATCAGCCTTTAATTGATTTTCTTTCATGTCTCACTTGTGAGAGTCAGTGCTGCTGATTTTGCCCTAAATGGGCTTCCTTAATCAAAATGCTGAAAATTACTTAAACGGGGAGAAAATTGCACCATTTGTAATTCACAGAACAAAAGATAGCTAAGGAAAATTCTTGACAGTGATCAGATGTGAACCTGCTGATAATTGTCGGGTTTCCTCTGTCCAGAGTCTGAGCCTTTTGTGCCCTGTTGGCCCAGAGCCAGCTGCTCTACTTTCCCTCCCTGCATTAGAAAAGAACAAAATACTTCTCTGTGTCAACTTACTGTGTTGTGATTTCAGCTTAAATCTATTTGAATTGATACAGACATGAGGACAAACTCAATGGTTCTCTGACAAACAACTGAGTGGAAGTTTTATTTAGAGGGTTGAGGTTATTTTTATTGACTTCTTTGTTTAAATAGGCAGGGAAATATCTTTATGAATCATCTTTATTAAGTTCAAATGTTGTGATGCAGTATGTGTCTGAGGTTCCACCTACTGGCTGTTCTGTGTTGGTACAAAATCCTGACTAACAGAACATGGATATTGCAGGACAGAGCTTTGTTATAAAGTAGGATTTAACCATTTTCCAGGGTGTTTTATCTGTGTAATTTAATGTTTTACTCAGAGTTTTATATTTTCTTTCAACCTAAAGAGGAGAGTTTTGCATTTTTATTCTCATTGTGGATTCTCACTCATATGACTCAGTGTCATCAGCAAACAAATGATTTAGTATTTGAATAAATCCCAGCTTAAGTTTGATWTTTTTTTGTGATTAACTTGGGCTTACACACATTTTTGTACATGGTATAAAATCAAATTTTAGATGTCTGATAAAGTGTTTCTAAAATCTCCATGTTAATCTAATTTCTGAATTTCTTAACTCTAATATATTGTCCCTATTTAATGCTTTCATAATGGCTTGGATCATTTTTGACCTGAGGCCACATTTTCCCTCATTATAAGTTGCTATTTCAACAATTCTTGTAACATTAAAGTAAACTAGCATTTCAAAGTAAGATAAACAATTAAAGCAAACTTTTAATTAGCTATTCTTGATATCGGAGCAGAAACGAGGAAGTGATTCAAGTTAGAAGAAAGAACTTGGTTTGGTTACATTTAATTGGTAAATAAAGGCTCTTGCGAACAACCGTTAAAGTGAAATGAAATATTATATGAAATATTACAATGATAAATAGATATTTAACATGAACAGGCTGGATCAGATGATGATCTATTTTTTATTTATGGATGAAAAACCTTAGTCAATCCATCATCTTAGCCAGCTTCTTCCTATCCATCAGTTGTTGTGCAAGAAGTGTGGTAGACCCTGGACAGGTCACAAGACAATCACACACTGAAACTTAGTCAAAAAAACCTTTTGGATTTAAGAAGACAAGCAATTTTACTTAAAAAATAAGAAATTCTTTGTTGTTGCTTATTGTTGGTGACTTGCACATGAATCTTTTTTGACCTTCAAATCTTCACTAAAGGTTCTGGCCACTAGAGGGCGGTAAACATTCACACATGGAGGCTTCTAGCTCAGCTGAAACTGAAACTTCTCAGTGTTTTTTTCTAAATCTCAAACTGAACCTCACGTGTAACTTAAAGATGTAAGAAAACATCTTCTTGTTGATCTTAAACTGTGTGAAGCACTTTTTAAAAGATGGAAAATCAGATATTTCTCAAAATAAACACAAGGAGGCGCTGTGCACCGTGCAATTACCAAATGACAACCAGACCCACATTGAGCTAAAAAAAAAAAAAAAAAAAAGGTTTTTCAAGTATTTTAAATTGCAAATGTTAAATTCAAGTTTTTGTTGCAGCAGAAATATTGCACAATAGTAATTAAAACAGTTTACTTCCTGTAGACTCATTTGGGTTTCTTTAGACATTTTCTGTTGATTTGCATACACTCCTGCAGGAAGAACAGCAGAGGAATTCACCCTCAGGGGTTATCAGTTGCTTTTTTTTTTCTTACCTATCTCCTCCATCGCTTTTTTTTTTTTTTTTTTTTTACATAAAGTTCATCTTTGAATGACAAAAGCAGTCAGCGGGACGCCGGCTCAGTGGGCTGAATAAAGTGTTGCTCTGTGTTAAGAAAACATTGCATAAAACATTAAGGAGACGGTCTGGCRGCGGGATTAGTCTTCAGAAAACATGTCAGCTATGTGTTGCAACAGAAGGACGAGTGATTAAAAAAATGATCTGAGTTGTGTGTGTGTGTGTTTTAACAAATAAAARCTGCATAATTGTTAAAATGAACAGGTAAATGTGGATTTAAGTGGGGGGAAAAAAATCAGAGGTTTGCGGGCTGAAACTGTCAAGACTTTGCTCAGCGCGTAAAAGTAGGGGGGAGAAGCGCAGCAGCCAATCAGAAGGCAGATTCCAGCGCAGCTCTTTATAACTCTGTGCCACAGGGGCTGAACGATGCCACAAGTTTAGTTACWGCAGCTGGAGGACTTTCAGTGGACTAGAAGCCCTGCAGAGCGCTGAGGAGCGCGCGCACACAGCTGCTCTTCTCTGATTTTTTTCTTTCTTTTTTTTTTTTGGTGGCTTCTTTTACGCATCAAACGACTCCAATCCAAGGTGGGATTTTCTGCGTTTTTTTTTTATATAATTCCGGAGTGCTTTTGTCACCATGAGCGCCGGACAGAGCTATGAGAAGAAAATCGCGAACATTCTGACCGACCTTCCCGGATCTATGAGCTGCCACCCGAGCTCCAAGGACTCCCCGACCCTCCCGGAGTCCTCGGTGACGGACATGGGCTACTACAGCGGGCAGGSGGCGCACCATGAATACTACCAGAGTCAGCCGTACGGACAGCCCATGAACTCTTACCACCACCAGTTTAATCTGAACGGAATGGGGGCGGCTGGAGCGTACGCCACCAAATCTGAATATCCCTACACGAACAGCTACAGACAGTACGGACATTACAACAGAGACCACCTGCAGGCCTCCCCTCCGGGCTCAGGTAGAGATCATCTTCATCCACAACGTCCAAAGAGAAATATTTGTCCAGTTTCTGTTTGCTTYAAGTGAAATAACTTGTGTCGAATGAATGTTTGGATCTCCTTATACTGAATCAAACAGAACTGAAATCTAAATAATAATGATAATAAAAAATAAAAAAA